ATTATGGGATACTGAGTGTAGATTAATGAGGAAAAAAACAAATTTGAACGATTGTAGTATCAGGTTGCAACATAACAAAATTGAAAAAAAGTGAATACTTTCCGAATGCACTGTATATGCCCCGGTTTCCTAGTCTGGTACCTTGTAAGGCCCCAGACTAGCTGGCAGCCAGGGCAATTGTTTTTCCAAAGGGGCCTCATATGCACACCCAGGTGCCCCAACCTCCTGCACCAGCTATAGCTTCTGGAGCCAATGGAAGACCTGGGATCCCCACATAATGCAAATGTGGGGTGACCAGCACACAAAGGTCTGTAGCTAGCTGTCCCTTTTGGGAGCAGGTAGAAGTGGCATATACCCACCAAAGCTGCTACAGACACTCTTAGTCATAGAGGTTCCTCTGGGGACAAGGATGACTCTAGGAGTGCCTCCCCCAAATTATACCTATTACTTCTGAGGGAGTACAACCCCATTTAAAACAAGACAACCCCCAATTCCAATCTGTCTTGTTGGGATCCAACCATTCCTTTGAAGAAAGGCAAGATAGTACTGTAATTGCTCAGATTATCTGTCCTTCAAGCCCCATCAACAGTCAGTGACCGACAGCAACTCTTCAGGGTCTCAGGAAGAGAAAAGCTTTCCATCACACTTGTTGCCAGATCCTTTTACCCAGAGATCAGGGGTATCCACAGGGTATGGTCAAAAAAGCTGTTTTTACAGCTACTGTATATGAGAAGTCCAAATCAGGACTGTGAATTGTGCTCATGAAGCAATATGCTGGCATGAGGGGTGTTGACACGTTTTCATATCCAAATGATACTAAATGTGCAAAAGATGGAACCATTTCTTGTGTGAAGATTTATTAAATGACCCATAAATCTGGTTTGACAAATGAGGAAGGAGCATAACTGTATAAATCTCTAGAATTTTAAACTAAAATGATGGACTATATATGTGTCTGTCTATCTACCTTTCATTACAAGCATTCAACAATCCTCCAATGGTTCCAGTAAGCCTTTCTGGCACCTTTTCCAACTTTATAAAGAACATCTGGAGATGTGGAAGTTTGAATCAGTCACAATTATTTCAAGTGTGGCTGCACCTGGATTGATTTAAAAAGGACTATCATGCTGGCATTTCTATTTTAAACCTTTCCTTAATGATCCATTGAATTAAAGTCTTATTTTTCAAGGTGACCCCGTGCTAAATCATTTAAAACTCCCTTTCTTAATCCATCATCACAAGCCAACTCAGGCCCCAGGAGACAAAAACAAGTGGAGACCTTAGATGTGCATACATTGAATCCATTAAAAAGTAAAGTCCCCTTTGATTCAAGCTCAACCACTAAAGACTTCGTGGGTGCAGCTTTCTTGGCAACCACAAAGAAGCAGCTTGCCATTCCTTTCTTCCCAGCTGTTTTTCTTTCCATTCCCCATTTAGCTTTTCACCTGGGCTTTCCCTTCCAAATACTAACCAGGGTCTCCCAGTTTCTAGCTTGGAACCTTGACTATTACACCAAGCTGGTTCTCACCTTAACATATATGTAGTTCTAAATTGAAAGTAATTCACTTGCTGGAATTCTAGTAAACCAATCCCTCTCAACTCAATCAAACTAGCTAAAGAGAACTCTGGGAAACTCATGTTGGGAAAAGAATAACTTTTGGTTTTAGGCAGCTGCTAAAAAGGCTGACAGAGATTTATAAAAGTTTGTACCTAAGCGCTTAGGCGGACACCATCCACAGTACAGATCCATACAGTTTTCCCCTGCATGAATCTTTGCTGCCTGGGAAGATTTGCATTTTGACTGAGGCTCTTTCCAGTTCTGTGCATTTAAATTCTGTGGCTCCTTCGATGAGAATGGAGAGTTATGCTGTGGCTAAAACTCTTTCCACACATGGAGCATTGATAGGGTTTCTCCCCCGTGTGGATTCGTTTGTGAGAGGTCAGGGTTGCCATCTGACTGAAGCTTATGCCACATTCAGAGCATTTGAAGGGTTTCTCTCTGGTGTGAATTGTTTCATGTTCATTCAGTAGAGATTTATAAGTGAAGCTTTTCCCACAGATGCGACACGTATTCCTTTTCGGTTCATGACCTAGTTTCCCACGGGTGAGTATTTCAGGAGAATCCACACTTTCAGAAACAAAGGATGCATTTCTTGTGCTTATTTTTTCCTGGATTGTTGTTTTACAAAAGTCCCCGCTTGCAGAAGCAAAAGATGTATTCACAGTACATATCTGGGGAGGGTCTGTTACTTTCCGGAAACGATGACTTTCAGAAAGAGAGGATTCATCCCATCTCCTGTGCTTTGCTCGATCTTCCATTCTTCCGCTCTGCAGCCCCTCCTGAGTACATCTGCCTCTTTTTAAGGACATTCTGGGTGATTCATCCTCATTCTGCCATGCATCCCCCCCTAGAATAATGAGATAAAAGATGTAAAACCAAGGGAAAACTTGAAAAGAATTTGATCAAATGAGGAAGGACTTCTGGTGAGAGAGATTAACAGGAAGTTGAAAGCCTTAGATCAAACTTCGCAACTTTAAGATGAGTGGAGTTCAACTCCCAGAATTCCCCAGCCAGCATGAAAAACATTTCCTTAGTTTATAGAAAAGCGATTGCAGAAAACTAACGGTGAAGGTAGAGCACTGCTTATTGGAAAACTACATAATTTGCATTCAGTCACAGCCCATGTTGTTAGTAGGAAAGGTGTCAGGCTGGGAGTGGGGAGGCCCAGGTTCTGTGGCTGAACTCTTAGATTCTGCAGTAGCTCCTGTGTGTCTGCATTCTGATATGAAATGCATATTTGTATTCTCTATCAGTCTTTATTCTATGCACTAAAGGTCTCCCTTGTCAGGATTTTCATTCTCATGGGAAAGGATTCATCCCATTATCTTTACAACAATAACAA